AGGCTGCGACTTGGGCTGCGGTGTTGAGGACGAGGACGCAGTCGTATATGTCGAGGCCGAACATGAAGCCCGCGCCGAGGGTGGACACGACAAACGACGAAGGGGGGGACCACGTCCCGTCCGGTCTGCGCGCGACGACGATACCGGAGCCGGCGGCGAGGGAGCCCATGTACGCCCCCGCGCGGAGGGTGTTGAAGATGGCGAGGCCGGCGCAGTGGGCGAGGACCTGGTGGGGGATGGTGACCATGGAGCGGCGGGTGATGCCGAGCGGGTGGAGGGGACCCTGGGCCTTGGGGGGTTCGGGGCCGAGGTCCGTGAAGGCGTGGAGGATGCGTGCTGCTTTTGCGCACTCGCGAGGCATGGTTTGCGGGAACCAGCCTTCTGCGCCGACGAGGTTTGCGGCTTTGTTGAAGGGGATGCCGGCCGTTGTTGTTATCTTGTGGAGGTTTGCGCCGAAGCCCTTGTTGGGGGGTTTTACGGCGGGAGGAGCCCTTTCGGTGGCCGTGGTGCTGTTGGTGCGGGTTCGGTGGAGGGAGGAGAGGGTGCGGGTTAGGGAGAGGCGGCGGGAGGTTGTGGAGCGGGCTGAGGAGGAGGAGGAGGGGGTTGAGTGGAGGGAGTGGGTGTCTGCTTCGGCCTCGTGGGTTTGGGAGGGAGCCTGGGAGGGCTTGGACTCTGTGGCGAGTGTCATGATGGTGTTGGTGGGTGGTGGTGTAAGTCGATGTTGAGATATCGTGATATCGGGTGTGCTGGGTATTGTTCTGCAAGCTCTGACCTACTACAAGTGTTTGCTTGCCTGCTGTGTTTGATAGAGAGAATAGAAAACAGTCTCAACTTGACGGTGCTCGTGAGCATGATATATACATTCTTCGTCTCATCAACACACCTCACTTGAGGCGTGGACGAGCAGGAGGCGTCGTCAGGGATCGCCCCTCAGCCGGACCAACAACCTCCAGGTCGGAAGCCGGGATAACACTGCACTCTCGCGTAGCTCTGAGCTCTCGCCAAGTCTGCCGGCGAGAATAGTGTGATGGGCGCAAAGGGGAGGGGCCGAGAAAGAGGTCTCGCCTCGCGAGGAAGGGTTCCAAGACGGCGAGAGGTGAGACGGTGACCGGGGGTGGTGGTGAGTAGAGGAGAGAATGAGACCGACGGGCCAATGGGAGTTTGTCCGTTGGAAGAGGAGGTGGTAAGTGCTTGGTGGTGGTTCATGCTTCTTGGCGTCTGGGCGTCCGGCTGGGCGAGAGATGTCTACGGGCAAGAAGTGTAGGTAGGTTATGGCCAGGATAGGGATCACTCGGAGGCGGAGGAACTTGGGCACGGAGTGAAGGGAGGACAAGACGGATAGGATGCGTAGTCGTAGAGAACATAGCAAGCCACAGATCGGCATTGTGAAGGGCAGGATAAGGACGCGGGGTCATTAATCATCCCATATCCAAGACTACTTCTCACGCAGTATAGTTACCAAGGAGTAAGAAAGCTTGGGTTCGTGTAATTCGTTTCATGTGACTGGTTCTACCAGTCCAGCCCCTCAAGCCTCTCAGAGATGGACTCTAGATGAGATGGAATGCGGTGCCTTACTACAGCTCACACCATCTCGGCAGAAAGAGAACCAAAACATAGTGGAGGCGCAGCAAGAGTGAGACGGAGAGTTTGGCAGCGTCTAATGGTGTGTTACTGCCAGAACGCGCAAGTGTCCTCGCGGTCTTGGGAAACTGCTTAATAATTAGGTCTCAATGGGAAGCTTGGCTAAGAGAGCCAAGATGGTCTTATTCTACGTTGGTCGAGTTTCTGGCAATGGTAAGACGAGAGGTGCGCGGTTCGGTGGAACTTTCAAGTCCTCGCGGCGATTCGAGGTGGCCGAAGTTAACGGCGGGAGGCCGAAACGCGGCGGAAGAGCGAGGTGGGGCGCGGGGGCTGTGGGGGGGCGCGGGTTGGCGCAGAGGCTGCACGCTGACTCCATTACGATACCTATGTAAAGCCCTAGCTGCCCTCGGCTCTCCATCAATCAGTCTCTATGGCTCAGTCGGTAGAGCGTTGGTCTCATATCAAATACATATGACTCTAGATCATCTAGGGGTAATCCAAAGGTCGCAAGTTCGAGCCTTGCTAGGGACAATTATTTTTTCTTTTGGCCTTCTTTCGCATGGGTTTTAAGTTGCTACTCAATTGAACTCATTTTTTTTTTTTAGCACTTTTTGCGTTGTTGCTGCGCCGCGGTGGCATCCCACCCCATTCCTGATCTTTCGGTACTAACACACCAAGAACCAAGTCAGAGGCAGTCGCAAAGGTCCTCAACATGAACATGGGAAATGCCGTTGCGTATGGGGCCCATTGATGGCGTAATTTAATACTGCATATAAAGTTGATGGATGTGAATTGATGGGCCGAGCCCGATATCTTGATTGGTGTCATATGTACGTACTGCCAGATGATACTTCCGTTGACACAGTTTTTGTAGGTCTACACGGTTGATATATGTTTCCTCATTTGCCCAGCTCACTCTTGTTGGCGATATGCTGGCCTAGGTTGCCCATGCTTTCCAGGCTCCCTCTATACCTCCCTCTATACAATGCCACCATACTGATGAATTCTTTGGCGCCTCGAGCGTTGCGCGTTGCATCGCTCGATGACTGTAAATGGCCCATTATATGAATCAACGAATCCTTTACTGCGTGGTGCCGCATATGCAGCTGGTATTCTAACCAGGTCGACTTTCAGTCCGAACCAGGCTATGTTATCTCGCGGACACCCAGGCGGCCACATCATTCTTGCCGGAACACAGCTGGGCCACAGCCGAAGCTCGGCGTGTGCCTATGCTGCACAGGCGACCGAAGCGTATTCCTGCCCAACTTGAGCCGGCGTGGAGAAGTTGCATTGCCAGAATCTCACGCTGCGTCATTGGGTGATGGTTTGCAGATACAGTCTCTGAAAAGGGCCTCCTGCGAGTGGACCGCTTTTCTCTCAGAGAATCGGTTCGTACCATTCCGATAGACTGATCAATCTCCCAGAGAAGTCTAATCCGAATCGAATCCTCGAGCGCGTCATGCTGGCGGCTCGCCCAACCTGAAAAGGTCCAGCTTGAAATTGGCAGCAGTGGGAGGCTGCGTCCTCGGGACGCTCTCAATCGGAACCGGCTTGAACGGCTCAACCTGCCGAATATCAACACCCTCTCGAATACACCTCAGAGGCCACTGGATCCACTCCCTCCATGGTTCCTGGATAGCTTGGTCTAAAGCCGATGCCACATTATTGCCCCAGCCGACGAGGTACCACATATTCCGCTCAAATGCGTGCACCAGTGCCGCGTAGTGCATGAGTATGACGAGGGCCATGGGGTGGTTCTGGATCATCAGCTCGAGGAAGGGCTGGGGGAGGGAGACAGCCCAGCGCCAGACGAGACCGGACCTATGCTGCGGAGCAGAAACTGCGGCAAAGGTGATTTTGAGGCCCTCGAGCGCGGATTGGCAGGTTGTTGTATCATCTGAAGGGGCCATGCTTCGCGTGAGAGTGAGGAGATCGTCGATTTTCGAGGCAAAGTTGCCTCCGACGGCGGGCTCGACGCCGCCTTGGTAGAGCCAGCGGGCCAACGGGCCGTTGGAGATGTATCGGTGGGCAAAGGGGAGGGTGAGAATGCTCTTGATGCCTGCGATGGGTCAGCATGGGCGGAGACGTGAGATGGGCGAAGCACCGACCTTGTAGTAAAATGAAGGACTGGGCGACGTCCTTGGATGTGATGGGCCCGTGGGGGTTCGCGATGGAGTAGGTGTTGAGCAGAAAGATGCATATTGCGTGGAGTACGTAGGCGTCTGCGTTGTTCTCGCCAATCTCGCTCAGTCCTGGCGAGAATTGGCTCAGAGCGATGTTCTGATGGCGTGCTGATAAGTTGGCATACTCGTCCCTTTTCTCGGGATTAATGTGCGCTCTGTGTATAGCTGAGACGGCGAGGATGCCGTGGAGAAGGAAGTCCTGAATGACTTAGTGGGAGTGTAAAGATGGATATAGGGAAATTCTTACGTTGGCGAAGGCAATTTGAGGAACAGTCGTAGTCCACAAATGTACAAAGTCTGGATTCTCAGAAAGAGTATGAGCTGTGTTGGAGGTAAAGTGATGGACGAGTTGCATGTCGGTGAGCCAGTCAGCTTGTGAAATACTCTGAGAGTCTCCCGAGTCTCCATGACTTGAGCCATTGGCCGGGCTGGAGTAGTTATCATGACCGTTTTGGTTGAGGGCATCTACTTCAGCCGTAAACTCTGACAACAGCCCCTGGATGGCGGCGACTTTGTCTTTCAAGGAAGACAATTGAGGCGATGGTCTCTCGCGGCGGCTGGCCGGGCGACTGGTCGTCGAGGCGTCCCCGATACTACCTGGTGTTGCTGTACTCGCGGTATCTTGAGTTGGTTTTGGCGACTCGGTCACGGCAGGAAGCTGAGGTGCGAATGGCGTCAGGACAAGGCTGCACTTGACATCGTGCCGTACACAATTGCGACATGGCCGACTCTCATCACACTGGATGTTTGTTAGTTACCGATTGAAGTCACTATGAACCTCACCAGTCTCCAGTCTCCATAAGAGGATGGCTTGGCGTGGCTTGCTGCAGAGAACAGAGCCCTTACTATAGGGAACTGAACTGACCTTGACACGCCGTTTCTTGCACTGCTGACACCCATTTCTCGACTTCTTGTGACCTATGCGTGTTCCGCGGATCGCGGTGCCCATCTTTGACCGTTCGGCGCCGTTCTCCAGAGCCGTCACTTCGTCCTTGAGCGAGGTGGTGGACCCTTTCCTTTCCGGCGCGCCGTTCATGGCATTTGACTCGGTCTCCATACGGATGGAGTACGAGTACGGAGTATTCGTACACCTTTCAGAATGACGAGCACCGCCGGGGAGTTACCGTTTAACTGATAAGTAAGAAGAGTTTGATCCTTTCTTCCTCTCTTCCTCCTATGTTCCCGGGGACTGTGATGAGATGTCTCAAAGGCTGTTTTGACGCTTGGACAAAAGAGATGCAGTCCGAAGATGGACTATTGTCTGATCCCCAGCTCGGTGGCGCCGCTTTTCACACTGCCGGGCTGCAGGACGCAACTAAACCAACGCCAACTGCCAGCCCAGTTCCAAGTGTGAGAGAGTCCCGCGGCCCAGGGCCTTACACGGTGTGGCTAATGGACCGGGACCCATGCACTCGCAGATGCGCAACACGGTTGATGGGATCTGATCTGGAGTGCGTCGATGACGAATATCACAGATGCAATCAAGATAATGCGAGGGCGGGGCTTAAAATAGAATAATGATGGAGTTGACAGCCTAACAGATTTTCTTGACAGATTAAAAACCTTGCAGATGTCACAGATGAAAAGGTCGCGAGAGTCGAGGCTGTCGAGCAGGGACTTGGAGACCGGCAACCTTCCCGAGTTGCTCCTGGCTCCTGCTCTCCTGGAAATTAGAACTGCTGGCAGGTGGCCCTCTGGCTGGGCGGTTCCCCCGCCGTTCCGTACCGGCCGGAACAGCACGTGACCATGACTTTCGAAACGGCAAAGAACGGACGGAGAGAAAGGTCCTTCCGTTTCGTACAGATCTGCGCACAGGTACATACTTTCGCGATGGGTGGCCCAAGCTCCTTCATCCCCGGGGGGGGGGGGGGCACTGTGAGAACGTACCGAATAGCTAGGTTCATCCATCAGGGTAGATGTGGCTGATGCTACGATGTGTGGCTTGCGCACCATTCTCCTCCTCCTCCCTCTGCGGGGCAGGTACTTCTCCAGAGCCCAGGGACCAGCTGAACGCAGGCACGCAGTACTAAATTACGACCTGCATGACGCGCCCCGACGGAACGCGACTTGCCGTCCTTTCCTGAGGGTGGTGAGGTCAGCCTGTCGCTGTTTGTACCTTCACCTTTCCTCCCGCTCCCTTCTCTGTCAAATGCCACAGAGAGACGACGCCAGAAGTGTCAATGTCAGCATCAGCTGCAAATCCAATTGTCCATCGCTGGCTGTAGCCTCTTAGCTTCTTGCATCCATCCAGACTCAAGTGCCTCCGTCACTCGTCCGTCACACTCACGGGCCTACCGCTTGCCGTTCCCGAGCTACCTCAGTTGTACCAAGTATTCCGTCGCATAATCGTTGAGCTGCGCCAGTGTCTCTCCCGTGTCTCCCTGCGAGCGCCCACCCCAATCGTTCGACCGACCCCTCTCGAATTGCAGCCTCCCGTCCATCCCTGGGAAGCTAAGAAGAGGCGTCAAACTGCAGATTGAAGAAAAAGGAGGCTGCCCCGACGAACCTCCTCCGAAGTCACGATCGGCTATCCCTCCATCTTCAACACCCCTGACGCCCATTTACGAACAACGAACGTCATCCGTCCTCTTCCACAAATCCCTAGAGCAATTGCCCACCATGGCATCGCACAGCGACTACAACGACATCAAGGCCTCGGCCAAGGAGAACGCCGCCGGCGTTTATGCCTACGGCCAGCGACAGATCAATCGGGTCGTCAGCTCCGACACCAGACAAAGAGCGTACGGCAATGCCTACAACTTTGCCCAGGAGCAGCCATTCCTCTTTGTATGCGACCCCCAATGATACTCGTCTCCCTAATGTCGGACATCTTTTTTGCTAACGAATTCATTACAGGCCTTTATTCTTTGCCAATTCATCTTCTCCTTCCTCCCAATCCTCGTCTTCGTGTCCTTCTCCGCCTCAACCATCGCCTTTGCTCTCGGTGCCGCTGTCGTTTTCTCCCTCTTCTGGATCGGCATTGCACTCCTCGTCCTCGTCCCGATCCTCTTCTTTACCTGCTCGATTGGTGTTCTCGTGTGGATCTGGGCTGCCGGTAGCTTCGTCGTCGCGAAGCGTTTATATGAAATGTCGCCGATCCGGGCCAGGGGTGATCTCGAGGTAGATGCCCCCAATGGGAAGACGTACGCAGTCACCAAGCGGGAGGATGGCATTCACACACATGCCCACAACTAAATTGGGTCAGTTATGTGCAAACCATATATGTACCATGTATCATCAAACAGTGATAATTGACGGCCGCTTTGGCGTTGGGAAAGGTACGGATATCAGGAATGGGTCTGGGAAAATGGGGTCTTGCAAAACGGATGAGCACACTTCCCATAGGATTGCTATTCAACGTTAACACTTCTTTCGCTCATCGAATCGATACATCGTGACCATAAATTACTCGCCGGTGCCTGTTTCAAGCGGTAATGGCAACTCATCACTGTATTCACTATAGTTGGGTATATGCTGTGACCCCACAGCTAGAAAGTACGTCGCAATATTTCCCCAACCACTCAGTCTGTGCATTACCTTGAAGACAAAGTGAAGACAGATTCGACAACGACGACATTCGAACACATTCTGCTTCAAAAACAGCAACCTGCACTTGATGCCCATAATACCGTAGATCAAAAATGCAAAACGTAACGTTGGTGCCAACACTGTGGATCGAACACAGGATCCCCGCATTACAAGTGCGATGCCTTACCACTTGGCCATGCTGGCGAATTGGATGATTTTCGGGGCCAGAACTATCACTATGTATCTATACACCTTCTTCTCTGTTCAGTAATAGTAACGGTAACAGCTCGAACATCCGTTCAATCTCGAAGCATCTTATCTCATACACGTATGTGCGTTTGCCAGTTCACAGCTTATAATCGAAATGTGAAAAACTGACGTACCTCAGCGATGATCCCCTGCTCAGGTTGCCATCACGACTTCCAAGTTGATGCTAGAAGAGTGGGTAGAACCTACGTGCCCGGTTGTGAGTGGCTGGGTTGGTTAATGCAGAAGAAGGCTTCGCCAACGCAGGCTGCCGCAATGCCCAAGTTCTATTGGCTTTGCACCCGTCGAGGCAGACTTGACCCAAATCTCACGTATGTAGAGAAGGAGCGGGATGGGTTGAATGGCGGCCTCGATTTGCCAACCTCCGTTAATCTCATTCTTGTTCTCAACAACCACCTCCATCAATTCACCAAGTCTGCGGGAAATCGCTGCCACTGCCATCAATATGAGCCGCTGGCATGCGGACTGGTGCGCGTCACCTATCATTCAAGTCGGAGACGATCAAATCCCTCGATGCGAGAAATGTTAAGCCACAGCTCACGCTCGATTCAAGACGGCAGATTGGCCTGGCCCTGTACTTTCTGTACCAAAAGGCGAAGAATATGGGAGTCTCAACCTTAGTTGGCCACCTATAGTCACGTTCACCTCTGGGGAAAACACAACCCATTCGCCAGGTGATAAGAGCAAGGATGATCAAGGAGCTCGGTCGGCTACAATTTCAACTTCTGATTCGGCTCATGCGAATCGGGGCATCATTACTGCGCTTTTATCGGATGAATTCCGCCTTGCTGTTCTCCACGCGGTCGGAGACAAAGGCAAATCGTATCCCATACATGTGGACTTGGAGCCATACAAGGATACGCACTTCTCTGACTATGATGCCGTGTCATACACATGGGGCGATGACAATGGCAACTCCGAACGGTAGTTGAGCAACTGTTCTATCTCGACGGAGTCCAAACACACTAATCATCACCATAGATGTCATCCAATTTACGTTGGTCATCACTGGGACATCGTCTTTCAAACCAAAAACTGTTGCGACGTGCTCAGATATCTGCGACCATCTCGAGGCTTGAAGCTGATTTGGATCGACGCAATCTGAATCGACCAGAATAATGCGGAGGAAAGAGCTACGCAAGTAGCCAAGATGGGCCAGATCTATTCCAGATGCTCGCAAGTATGGGCTTGGATAGGCGATGATTTGGTATCAAATGATCTGCAAGGTTTGCCGGAGCGACGATGGCTTCACGAGCTTGGAACAACGTCAAGTTGTGTTGGAACGTTCTCACAGAGCCGCTCTATCCGGGATATTTGGAAACTATTGCAGAGGAGATACTTCCGCCGGGTTTGGGTCATACAAGAGTTGGTGCTCGCCCCGCGCGTTCTCATTCCGATTGGGAATGTGATCTTCGCAGCGGATCATACAACGGCTCGCAAGCTGACACAGTCGGAAAACGACTCAGAAAACAAGAGCAAGGTTTCTTGGAAGAAAACGGCAGCCCCTTGGTTCGAGCACGTTGCTCAAGGACATATCGGCGGCTTGGGTCTCTGGGATATGATGGCACTGACCTCAAAGTCGCATGCTTCAGACTTTCGGGACAAGCTATACGGTATTCTCGGCCTCCTGTCCTTTGAAAGTGACAACAATCTGCTGCAACCCAATTACGCTATCTCGGCCCGCCAGATGGTTATTGGGTTTGTTGCGCACTGCATTATCAACGAGGGAAAACCTCAGCTCTTGTTAGCAGCCCAAGGCTATTCTGCGCAGAAGAATCCGTCTTGGCTTCCTGCCTGGGAGACCCAAACGTCTTGGGAACAATCATTCGTGGAGCTGCCCGACCTGGCGTATAACGATGGTACCAAACGGGGAAAACCTGATCGTAAACATAGAAAAGGAACGTCTAAGCATTCTCGTCCTCACGCGGCTCTGAAGCACGATTATTTTCGAAGCAGAGGAATTGTGTTCATAAGCAAGAGCCGACACGCAGAACCTCCGTATAAAACACGATCAGATGAACTGAAGAGACGCCCGCGCTGTACTACAAGAGACCTTTGCCTGATACGTGCTTGGGATCGGGACTTTACTGTCGACACAGACACTGCATCCATCTCGATGTGGCTGACAAGACTAGCATCTATCAGCTCAACCCCCACGGAGGCCCTCAGAGGGGTCTTTGACGACCTGACTCTGTACAGAATTCACTTTGGCCCAGGCCAGTGGTTCTTGGTTGGGAGTCAGCACCCACTCGATAGGTTGCTAGAACAAGACGACGAGCTTTTCGCCCTGGATCCTGGATTGGGTCTCAGCAGTTCCAAGCTCAAACGCCTTGTTTACATGGTCCTAAGAAAAACGGGTGACGGAAGGTACAGATTAGTGACGGGGATCTCATACTTGTGTTTGTGCCCTGCGTCATCGCCAATGTTTGCAAACAATCGATATCTCACGGAGATCCATGAGAACTTTTATTTAGCTCGGCAAAAACTATATGTTCAAGCCGAGTTGGATAAATCAGTGTACGACGTGGATGAGAGATCGAGGTGGAGGCTCGATGATAACATCTACATTTTCCCGCTGGTTTTCCCCGGCAATGAAAACACAACCGTAGGCCACATCTTACCAATCCTGACCGGTCATGAAGGTTTTGGACGGTTGCAAGAGAACGAGGTTTGCGCTGCGCGTGGACAAAAAGTTATAGGAGACTACCTTGAGTTTGAGTTCGGGATTGATTTTGGATATCGGCCGAGCGACATGAAGAAAGGTCAATGCCAGGCGGAGAATGCATGGCGTACCTTCCGTTCATATATGGAGTGGGAATGGCGCAAACCCGGGGAGGAAAATAGGCTGCTTTGGCGGAGACTTCCACAATTGAGATATGAGAGCAACGACACCCATGAGGATCTAGGGCTTCCGGGTGGAATGATGCGAATTCACCTGAGGTGTCGACTGGAAGCGGTTAGGAAAGTCATTGCTACCGAGGCACAGCTATTGGGCATTACGGCGTTATGGGAGTCTCGAATGTTCGGAGATACTCTTGAGGCCTTTGAGAAAAACATGCGAAGCGAGGTGACGGAAGAGGACTTTTGGGTTCCTAATCCAGGTTTCGGGCGAAGCGGGAAGAGTCTAAGGCCTGACGAGTTTGCAGGGTTGGACGGCGGCACCTACCGAGTCTGCATTGTCTAGGTAGTCTCAGTGATCAAGTGCTTATGTACGAGACTATATCAATGTTCGTATCCAACGCTACAAACTAAATTTGTTATGCACGCTGACCAACACAATTACATGTATAATTAGTAGTCTAATGTCTTTGAAGGGGAATCGTGGCGCTAAATGATAATAGCATTCAGTGACTGGATCCAATTGGAACTATAATCGGCAACGTGATTATGACCTTGCCATGACGAGACCGCAACTCTCTACTCCTCCTCGGCGGGAACCTCATCCTCGTACTCCTCGGCATACTCGTCATCCATGCCCGCGTCCTGGTACTGCTGGTACTCGGACACCAAGTCGTTCATGTTGGACTCGGCCTCTGTGAACTCCATCTCGTCCATGCCCTCGCCAGTGTACCAGTGCAAGAAGGCCTTTCTGCGGAACATGACGCTGAACTGCTCGCCAACTCTGCGGAAACTGTTCTGAATCGCAGTGGAGTTGCCGATGAACGTGGACGAGACGTCGAGACCCTTGGGCGGGACGGAGCAGTGGGCAGTTTGAATGTTGTTGGGAATCCACTCAACAAAGTTGGTGGAGTTCTTGGTCTTGATGGCGTGAATTTGGTCTTCGACCTGCTTCATGGACACCTTTCCGCGGCTGTTGAGGGGGTTAGACGTAGCTCGAGAAACGGGGGCACGAGAGCGCAACTTACAACATGGTGGAGCAAGTCAAGAAGCGTCCGTCTCTGAAGTCGGACGCCAACATGACGTTCTTGGGGTCGAACATTTGCTGGGTGAGCTCGGCGACGCCAAGGTTCGAGAAGGACGCGGAAGAGGTGAGGGGCGCGAATCCGACGGTGAAGAAGTGCAATCTCGGGAAGGGCACGAGGTTGACGGCCAACTTGCGGAGATCGGCGTTGAGCTGGCCGGGGAAGCGGAAACCAGTCGTCAGGCCGGACATGACTCTCGACACAAGGTGGTTCAAGTGTCCGTACGAGGGGTGAGCCTGCTTAAGCGTGCGTCTGCAAATATCGTACAGCGCCTCGTTGTCGATACAGAACGTCTCGTCCGAGTTTTCGACGAGCTGGTGAATCGACAGGGTAGCATTGTACGGCTCGACGACGACCTCGGAGACCTTGGCGGACGGGAGGACGGAGAAGGTGGCCATCATACGATCGGGGAATTCTTCGCGGACCTTTGCAATGAGCAGAGTGCCCATACCGGATCCCGTGCCGCCACCGAGCGAGTGGGTGATTTGGAAACCCTGAAGGCTGTCGCAGGCCTCGGCCTCGCGGCGCACGACGTCCAGGACGGAGTCGACGAGCTCGGCGCCCTCGGTGTAGTGGCCCTTTGCCCAGTTGTTACCGGCGCCGGATTGGCCGTTGACCATGTTGTCCGGGCGGAAGAGGTTGCCCAGCGGGCCGGAGCGGATTGCCTCCATCGTGGCGGGCTCGAGATCGACCAGGACAGCGCGGGGGACATACTTTGGTCTACCGGCCTACGTTGCATGAGTTTGCGGTTAGAATTTTGAGAGACATCATGAGAGGGGGTGAGGCGCATATGAGATCACGAGGCGCGTGTGAGATGAAGGTAGTACCTCGGTGAAGTAGACGTTCAATCGCTCGGATTGTTGCTCATCAGTTCCAGTGAACCTATAGAAAAGTCAGCATACTATGCTCATAGATTTGCGTCATGGTGACTGAGCAGCTGGAAAACTCACTGTCCATCCTGATCCAAGCCATGCTCAGGGTGAATGGTTTGCCTGTTGTCGCGAACATTAACCACACGTTCAAATAAGTCCTCTTCACATTGATCTCAATGTCGAGATTGGCACATTCGTACCAGAAAGCCGTTCCGACTTGGTTGCCCTACAAAGACTTATCATCAGTAAAGGCGCGTTGTGACGCGTTGAGCGCTGGACAGGGGCATGGGGAGACGTACACATTGGCCGGTTTGGAGGTGAATCTAGAGTGGATCACAGAAGCGTTAGTTTGTCAAGAGGGACTTTACAAAGTAAGGTACTCGAACATGTGCGCGCAACTCACAATTTCACGCATGATGCTGGTTCGAGGATAAGACGGGGTTGTGGTATATTACGATGGTTGAAGGACGCAAGACGCAGGACGCAGATTTTTACCCCGCTATCGAATTGTTGAAATCACGACAGGTGGTCATCTTATAGCGGGATTCCTTATTTCACAACAAACCCCTATCCTGTCCGTATCGCACGCTCGTCTCGCTTGCGCTGTGCGCTTGTTCGCCCCGGACAGGCCCGGCCGTGGACACTCGGTCTGGACTCGAAAAACTTCCCCCACATGTTGGTACATGCATCTTGTTAAACTGCTGCCTTTTTGGAGTTTGATAGCTGCCTGGTTTATGATGTGTTTCTCTGGCACGGCAGAGACATGGACTTCCCGGGCTGTCACACTTTGATGTGGGAAGACAGAACAGACGGTGAGCGGTCAGAGCTTTTTGGGGCACTTTTTGGGGGGAATCTGTGTGGGAAAAAGAGAGAAAAATTAAGAAATAAAACTAAAATAAAGACAAAAAAGAACTTTGGCTGCCCAACCAACGATTCGAGCGGAGGTATCACCCGGGAAGAGACGCAAGCTAGACCATGTTGGGCCCATGACCCGTAGAAACGATTGGTAAATGTTGCTCTGTGCCACTCAGAAGTCTTGTGGATGTGTTCAAAATCCCCAAAGAGTCTCCATGTTCGGCGATAGGCGCATCATCAAGACCCAAAAGGTGTGGTGTCACCAAACTCGTACTTCTTGTTGAAGAGCGTTGCCTAACGCCGTGACGCCGTTCCAACCGCCCGACCAATGAATCTTTGGGATATACAGCTGCCTGTACTCCCTCGAAACAAGCCGGTTGTTGTCCGTCGCCATGTTGATTCACGGTTGCTAGGTGTCTGCCTGCGTGTGTCACACCACCACACCCCATCGACCGACCGGTGCCGCCGCCGCCGCTTGGCCGGACGAGCCGGATCAGAGAGTCCGAATGCCCCCTCCCCTTCCCCCGTCCAGTCCGTGCTCACTGCTCCTCGCTCTCGGCGGACGAAGAGAGTTCGGCGCGCGCTTGAAATTCCCCCATGGCCCCGCCAGCATTCCAGCGCGCACCCACGTGGGACGATCCAAACATGGAAGAAGTTAGGAAAGGTACAACTGAGGAAAATCCGGGAAAATGGAAAGCTCAGCTCCCCCGCTCCCTCGAGTCCCTGGTGGCCTAGATTTTACATTTGCAGCGTTGAGTTTCGCGTCTCACGACGGCTTGGCTGTCTGCAGCACCCACGGTCTGCAAAGACGGACTATACCGACGTCGTTGCTGACGGATGTGGCCTCTCCCACATCCCGGAGCCACGGATCTTTCAAAGGCCAAATGCTGCATAGGACCTAACCTTGCTGCAGACAGCCGAGTCGTCGTAACAGCGCGGAGCCGCGAACCAAACGCAGGAGGCAGACCTGCCCGGCCGTGGTGGAACGCGTATGTATGGGTCTTGAAAAGGCTGCTGATTCTGGACGGGGCCTGCCATCCAAGCCCATCGCAGCGAAAGCCGAGAAGAGTTGTTAATGAAAGATAAGGTTATTCATTCTTAAAAGTTTATCGCCAAGCGAGCATTGCTGCCATTGCACGACAGGTAAAGAAGAGTTTACATGTCCGCGCCCCTGACATGCCAATGATATCAGAGACATGCTGTGCGAGTGCTGATCATTCACATTCGACGAGGGCCTGCTTTGCCAGCTTCAGCACATCAACCAAGCAACCTTTGACACGGAAGGTGGTGATCCAGCCACTGACGAGGGGCTCAAGATGATCTGGAATGCAGATGTTTTGGGCGATCAGGGGCAGACGGGCAAAACGAAGGGTGTTGGCGGCTGGGCAGCGGGAGTGGCAGCGTGTTTTCCTCTTTCTTCCTCTTTCTCTCAGCCTTCTCTCAACTCGACCGTCGTCCCGTGGAGCCTCAAGAAAAAGTTTGCATGAAAGCGTCGTCGTCGTCGTCTCCTTCAGCCTCTTGCAGTAAACCCCTCATACGTCTTGGGTAGATCTAGACACCGATATGGTCTGGACCCTTTACTCGAATCCGATCAGAGTACCCGACCGTTTACCAAAAGCGATCGGTGACAGCGGCTCCTAGTCTGGCTAGCCAGCGGGAGACGATAGAATCTGGTTTAGGGGGACTCGTAAGTTCTCTTTCAGACTGAGACATGGTGTCTTGAAGTTAAATGAACCGGAGGATGTGGCTTGCGCTTCAAAGAAACTGAGGAGTTTTCACCCCAAAGCCCCGTGTTGCTGAATGCGGTAAACCTACCGGGACTCGACTGTAACAGTGCAATCCCCATGGTACCGACTTCTGAGGGAGACTCCTGAAGAATGAGAATGGAATGAGATATATCTACATCCTCAGAACCCTGGTCTGAACGGGTTTCCTTCTTACTCTCCCATCTTCAAGTTACCACTTGGAACACTCTCCTTGATTGCATCCTTTTCTGCTCTTCTTCAGCTTCTCAACACTCCTATTTTCCCGGGCATCATCAACTTCAGTCTTCAGCTCAGTGGCAGGAACCATCCTTCCATTCAGTCAGTCACTCCTTACGACGACTCTACTTCGACCAGAAAGATCCCGGTGATTTCGATATATCCGAAGCCCCCAATTCCCACATCTCAAGCCACCACCATGCACTTCTCAGCCAGCGCAACCTTCGCCTTGGGGCTGATGGCCACGCAAGCCGCGGCGAGGGGCATCGTCAAGGTGCCAAAGTACTACGCAGCAGCCGGAACCCCGACCTACACGATCACTCTCGCCGCCCCCACGACGACCTTTCCCACGATCTACGCGCAGCCGTCGGTGACCTCGTCATCGACCTCGTCCTCGGCGACTGCCACCCCAACTGCCTCCTCCAACTCGACCCTGAGCGCCGACCTGCAGAGAGCCCTCGAACTCCACAACATCTACCGCGCTGCCGTTGGCAACGCCAACTTGACCTGGGATGACGACTTGGCCGCGAGCGCTCAGGTCTGGGCCAACCACTTGACGACTGTCGGCAGCCTGGTTCACGACTCGAACCCCGGCGGCCAGGGAGAGAACTTGGCTTCGCAGTCGGGCGGCACCACCACCTATTTCACCAACGGTGTTCAGCTGTGGTTGGATGAGAAGCCGCTGTATGATGGACAGCCCATCCGCACCACTGGGTCGCCCAACTACTTGAACTATGGTCACTACAGTGAGTACTTTGGGCCCTGATTGAGAGGAACGTTGCCACTAACAAGTTGATAGCTCAAGCCATTTGGAAGAACACCCAGAAGGTCGGCTTGGCCATGGCCACCGACTCCAAAGGTACCACATTCGTGGTCGGACGTTACTTGCCTCCTGGAAACTAGTAAGTATCTCATCTCGCACTCATCAACTTCACAAGTCTAACTGTTCTCTTCCAGCATCGGCCAGCTGCCCTACTAAGCATGGAAGGATAGATTGCCAGTGTTGTTTGAGATGTTCTAATCAACGCTGTTGGCTGGGCTTGGCTTTTCTTTCGGTTCTAGACCGCTTCTCCTTCACTAAGTTGCTTATGCTCATGGCAAGATTTTCATGCCTTGGACCACTTCACTGCACATAGATTGTACAGTTTCCGTTCAGAATCTTCAACAATTCGAGAGAAATGAAAAAGAGCTTAGACACAATGCCGAGCAATCAATGAATCAACCTCTCCCACACTTGCAAAGAAAACAAAATGCCGGATCCGGAAAAGGGTGCAAGGTAAGGTTCTGACTTGACAACGCCGTCTCATCTTCGCCGACTGTCCCCGCCCCACCAAACCAAGACCGCCGTCCGAAACTCGGCGGACGAACTGGACGTGCACTCAGCTCATACTCCCACCTCCAACACCACTGACTCCCAATCTCGTCCGTCCGAAGAGTACACAAGTCGTACACAGCATCAATGTCTCCGCGCCTCGTACTCACATAATGGCAGGCACTGAGCGAGGTACCATCACAGTTCGCACCGCTGCCTCGGAACGGCGAACTGCAGCTGCTAAGCGCCGCTTCGTCCGCAGGGGCACCAAGAGCTGCTGGGAGTGTCGCAGACGCAAGATCCGCTGCATCTTTGACGATAAGGGACCTCGAGACACGTGTAAAACGTGCTGGCAGAAGGGGACGCCGTGTGTGAGTCAGGAGTTCCCCGAAGAGGATGCCCAGACGGCTCCGGCCCCGGTGGGCAGTCTCGGGGACCGGCTGAACCGGGTTGAGCGACTGGTCGAGCAACTGTACCACCGGGTGGAAGATCTTGATGTCCCTTTTCCCACTTCGCCGCAGGAGAAGGTAGCAGAAGGCTGTAGCCCCGGAGCAGAAGAATCAGCCACCATAGGCCCAACTAGAGAAGCGTGTTCTGAGGCTGCCCGCAGCCCTTCATCAACTCAGAACGCAGACTTATCAACGGTAGGATCGGGTCGAATATTCAAAAGGACTCTCACTGACGAACGTCTTTCCATTGATTAAGATTCAATCACAATGTGAAAGCAATGATGCACAACCTAACGAAGACTCATCACGTCCGAATGCCCCCTCTCATTATGAGACGACGGCAACTATCCGTCCAGCAGTAAACGCAAAACTAGCTGCCTACACAAGACAGCTTGCCGCCGCGATACCCGCTATAGAAGATTGCAGGGTCATTTACAAGCTCTACTCCGAAGCTGACATTGTCTTTCAGCTCATGTTCACGCCCCACTGCCTATTGGAGCAGCTGGAGCCAGAGTCTGTCGAGCACTACTTGGAATCTCTCAGAACACCAATGCATCCCACTTTACTGGCCAAAAAGATGCTCATGTTGGGTACGATGCTTCAGCGCGTTCCGACCCACGCCGGAGAGGATGCGTCCGAAGAAACCTATCGTCTCGTGGACAAGCTCGCGGAGACGGCCATCTCTGTGGTGTGCGAGAACAACGTGCTCCTGGGCACGCTCGACGGCCTCGAATGTCTCATTCTACAAACTGTCTATCATGGCAATGGAGGCAATCCAAGATTATCACTGCTGACCTGCCGCCGTGCGATTACTGTGGCCCAGTTGATGGGCCTGCACCGCCCACACGATCCAGCTACCATTGAGACAGTGGACCCGAATTCGACAGCAGTTCCTGGCTTCGTGTGGTTTCGTCTGGTATACTTAGAACGCTTCATTTGCCTCCTTCTAGGGCTTCCCAGCAGCACCCATGATGCAAAGGTCATCAACGACGAAAAGACGCAGACGTACATCAACAGCCATCACATTGACAGGCTCGAACAAGTTCACTCCTCTATCGCCGCTAAGATCATACAACGAAACGAGTCGGGGTCATATCTATTCGATATGGAAACCACTCACGCACTAGACCAGGAGCTCCAAGTTATAGCAACAACCATGCCCCCTCGATGGTGGACTATTCCCAACTTCACCAAGCCGCACAAAGACCCCATGACAATCGTCCGCAACAGCCTCAACCTAGCCAACCAGCTCTTCCACTTCTTCCTCATCATCGAACTCCACCTACCATTCATGCTCCGCCACTCCAAGAACGGCGCGGCCAGCAGCAGCAGAATGGCTTGTGTCGACGCGAGTAGGGAAGTCCTCTCCAGGTTCATCGCGATCCGTAACCCGGAGGGAATATGCAGTATCCCCGACGCCGCTGACTTCTTCGCGCTCATTGCGGCCATGACGCTTATGCTCGCGCACATCGACGCCCGCAGACGCGACAGGGGGAGAGATATCCTCGCGCACCAGAGGCATACGGACCGCGACAAGGTCGAGCAGACGTTGGAGCACATGCGTGACGGGAGCTCCAAGAATACGGATATGCTTTCCATGAAGAGCGCCGATGTCTTGAAGAGCTTACTTGCGATCGAGGCTGATGCTGCCGGGGGTTCGACGTTCACTGCGAGTCTCAGTTCTGCGTCGACGCCGGCTTCGGCTTCCTGTCCTGCCGGTGAAGGCCGGAGCACAGGTGATGCCAGGAATGTGCTGCAGCTTAAGATTCCTTGTTATGGGACGGTCATCATCTCGCCTGATGCTCCTCCTTCTCGCGAACCTTGGATGCCGGTCAGTCGTAACCACCAGGGTATGGTTCCGGACAGTCGTGCTCCGGGAAATCTCAGTGCTGCGAGCCCCTTTGTTGCAGGCCCCATGGCAGGAGTATGTCCAGGCGGGGGGGCTAGTGTGATGCCAGGCTCGAGTGGTCAGGGTGAGAATCTGCAGCTCGATCCTAATGTCGATCCTAGATGGCTCTTTGAACTCGGAAATCCCAACCTTCTGGGCAATGGAATCGCCGCTGGGTTAGAGGATTGGCCGTTTCAGGGGGTTGATGCTGCCTTTTTTGACAGTATGATCAGAGGGTTCGAAGGTGGTGACGACTATGGCGGTGCAAATGTGCCATGAATGCATTTGAATCCTCGTTTTGGAAAACAAAAAGGACACAAAGGGAATGAATCCGCCAGGAAAATGCAAGAGTCGAACTCGTTGGCCAGGGACCCTATTTATAATGATTCGTTTATGGACAGGATTCCAACACCATCATACATCAAGTAACTAGAGCATAAGGGGTATCGAAACACTCATCCCAGTCTTTCTTCCCAGACGACCAAAACTTCTCTAGAATATCCTTCGTTGCTAGAGGCAAATACGCACCAAGGTGTACACTCTCTTCGGCTAAACGCTTAGCAACGAACGACCTTACCGCCGCGGTCCCCGTCTTAGCCTCGAACCCAGCAACAATCATCGGCCACATGACGCAGCTCCTCAGAACCTGAGACCCGGCAGCCTTCTCGAGGAGGGCCATGAGCTTGCTGCCGTGTATTGTCTTCACGGCCCGCCAGCCCGCGGATGCGGGTATCACACAGACGCTCTGCAGGGAGGCGATGGCGAAGACCACGACGGCGGACTGATACACTTGCGCCATTGTCAAGAATTGCTCTTGCGATTCGGTCTTGGCGGCGGACCAAGTTTCGGGGGAGAAGTCTATGATGCGCTCGAGGAGGTCTTCAGCTTCTGTCTGGAGAGAGTCCAGTGTGTCTGACGACTCTGGTTGCGTTGCGAGGTATCGGAGGCGGTTGACGCAGATGATATCGATGAATAGTTGAACAGGGCAAGGGAGGAAGGGGTAGTATCCTGTTTCGTAGATTTCTTGGGTAAGACCTCTCATTTCGAAATTGACTAGCGGTGAAACTTGGTCGTATGCAGGGCTTGTTGAGTTTGCCAAGTTCTCGATGCTGTAGGTGTAAGTTTTATCAGTGCTCTGCACCTACAGTAGTAGCGGTTTATGTTGTGAGAGGTGCTCACATCTTGCAGAATAGGATTACAGTCTTGTAGCCTGGCGCGGCGTCGCAAACACTTCTCAGACCACCTCGCATCTCGATGATAGCCATGAAGCCGTTGAGATGATGCCGCCAGTTGGAGGCTGTCACTGATCCCATAAGCTACACACAAACGGATTAGGGCCAAATTTTCTCGGCTGGCGAGGGGGTATGGAAGGAGAGGGTGTGAGATGGAAGGGGCCAAGACACGCACATCTGCGTATAAGAACACAATCACCGCCGCCATCGTGTAGTCAGAGATTCTCCTCTTCTCATTTTGGTGGCTGATCTCTCCGTTCAAGGCCTGAATTGCCGTACATCGATGCTGATGGAATCGGGCCCGAACTTCTGCGTGATGCAAGTCGTTTTTCCTCGAAGACAAGCTCAGCAAGCGGTGGTTAATGGCCATGGCAACGAGAGTGTGTTGGATGGTAACTCCCATGTACTGGATGTACGACACGGGTACAAGCCAGGGGCTGTTGGTCAACTGATTCGCTGCAAAGAATGGGTAGACCTGTTCGTTCTCTGTTGCAGATCGAGACTACATCAGTTTCTTGGTTGCTTGAACAAGACAGAGCTCCGATATAGTAACGGAATATGGTGACTTACAGTAAAGTGTAGCCTCAATAACATCACAAGTTTCATCTCTCAATTCGTAACCTGGAAAAAGGTGCATAAGGTGGTCGGTACGAGTACCTGATACCTCGGATCTTACTGCCTTTGCAAGTTCTGACCCGCTCTGCTCTTTGTTGTCACTTTTCGATGAAATGTCGTCTTTAGTCTTGTTGGCAGGCGGGCTCTTCCGTTTCCACGTCCGGGTCTTGACCTTGCCAGGGGCAAGCCATACCAACGGCTTCTTGTCCTCGTAACCGGGACACACGACGCCGCTAGTCTTGCACTTTGCGCAGACGGGACGTGCCGAGTCGCAGACTAGTCGGCGCCGTTGACATTCCCAGCATTGCCTTCTCCGATTACTGGGTCCTGTCTGTGAATGTGCTTGTGCCTCTGTTTGCGCCGGTCCACCTACTGCGAGCGCCAATTGTCTAGAAGTGGAAGTCATCGTCTGATTAAGGGAAATACCCTATCTCAACGGCTCATCAAACGGCTTTACGTTTTGGGCTATTGGAAGTAGACGGAGTGACGGGATGGCACATCCATCCTGCCACCCGCTGGCTCGGGTCGAGTTTAATACATGTGGTGCGGAGTTGAGCTGCAGTCACCTAGGAGGTCAACGAAGGTAGGTACGGCTAACCGGCGACGGCGAGCAGTGCCTGACCAGGGGCGCAGTGCATGTCTTGGCCACTTCAATAGCCTAATGAGGTAAAGCGCGGGGCATTCCTTCGAGATCATCGCTTCTCTAGCGCGTCAGCAAGACGGCCCTACGAGAGACGAGAGGGCGATGATAAGCGAGCGGTGCGCCAATGGATGAGTCTGATGATATCATTGAATGATCTTCATGGTTTCTGGCCTTAAAGCTATGAGCTATGAGGCCTGCTGAACGAGAGCACGGCGCTAGAATTTTGGATAACTTCTACCAAGCCAATCAGACCACGAGAGCCATAGGCATTCATCGTAAGTAGTCGAATGAAACTCAGGAACACGTAGCAGGTGAGGTGAAGCTGTGAAATACGTTCAAATCATTCAACACATAGAGATGATAGCAACAAGATTTCATCAGCGTATAAGCTTCATTATCACGAACTTTTGTTCTGGGCTGTTCTTATACAACTTCACGATATGGTTCTCGAATCTGAGTTCTTCTGCTACTAGTTCACATTGGATACATTAATAGAGTCGCAACTCGCTGGCGCAAACACCGGAAGCCGGAAATACCTACTTCCGAGTCACTTGCGTCGATGGTTTAGTGGTAAAATTCTCCGTTGCCACACTGCAGCGTCGGGGAGCCGGGGGTTCGATTCCCCCTCGACGCACTTTTTTGCTTATGGCAATCATCGCTATCGACTGAGACCCTGGCAATTTTTTGCACCTGACAATCTCTCCTCAATGAGATTTAGGTAGAGTTGCGTAAATCGAGGGGTAGAGGTCGTTAGTGATTTGATTGTCAATCAGCTGGACGATTGAAACATCTACTTTGCACACCAGACTGAGGTGGGCATCCCATGGGCAGACAAGCCTAGGCGAATGAACATACTCGTCCACCAACCACAGGCTCAATAAAGTGTGTAGTGTTTATTGGATTTCATGTCGACCTCCGGACTTCAGACGTTGAAGAGGATACCGGTGAGGCACTTTTCTCGGTATCGGTTCTGTGAAGTGCCCAGCGAATGATTCTCGACAGCTTCTATCATGCTATCGTCCGAGAGACCGATGTCAAATGTTGTGAACCACCCCAATTTCAAACGTTACTTTGGGGCCAGCTTGCTTTGCGTCTAGAAGTTGACTTTACACGTCGCAAATAGCTGCTCAGCGTCAGGGTCCAACTCCTGATCGAGCAGAGATTTACAACTGCAACCCTGTAAACTTGGGGGGTTGCACCGGTAGCCGGACACGTCGGAGACTCGCGATATGAACGCGTTGTGAACCCACCCTAGCTTCATGTCGGTAGGCGCTCTCATTTCTCACATTTGTGACTGGAGTAAGAAAACCATCCGAGACTCTTCCGCACTCCGTGCATCGCTACGCACAAACAACGCTGAAGGTTCCGCGTGCCTTGACTATCCGTCGATTAGACTTTGGGTTCATGTTCAAGGCCACATCAGTGCAACCACAATGTAAGGATGCGGGACGAAAGGTAATCACTTACACATCGTTGGCAAATGGCCACTCCCGCCGAGGGTGTGCAAAGGCCTTGAGGCTGGAGCATAGTCAAAGTTGAGATGAACTCTGAGTCTCAAGACTCCTGAACCTCCCCCATCCATTCATCTCCCCACGCGCCTGAGTGCAGTCATCATCACTTGATCACCGTACTTAACCAGTGATCCCCAGGGACTGGTTTTGGTCAAATTGAGGACCGTGCTCTGTCGCAAAGTCCGACATGAACCTTGTCCCCTGCAGCCCTGCCCTGGCTCCGTGGATCCTTGCAAGTTGTCGAACGGTGAGGCGGGGGGGATTCTCTTTCCTCGCTCCCGAGTTTCTCCAGGGCGAAGACCGCCTACCAGTCCGAGAAGAATGTTTGCTGGGAGGGTTTGCACAGGCTTCAAACGGGATAGCTCATCAACCCCTAGGCACGTCGTGAAGGCTTAGCGATCCTACCGGAAGCGCCGTAACACCAGCCGCTGCAGGCCATGGGCGCTTCGCCTGCATCTACAAGTGGAAGCTGAAGAAAAAGCCGTCGACGAACCCACTGGCCCCGATAAAAAAGACTGGGATGTTGGAACTTTGAAATTACGCAAGTCGTCCTGCGCCGCATTGCGGATATTCCGTATGCATGTACGCCTTGACTATAGGTAACAACAATCCAGCCAAAATTTCGTAGCCAAGATCTCGGATCCGAGTCTTCTCGTCATCTGGTCTAACATCACATTTGGAGCTGAACAGAAGAAGGCAAAGAGGATTGCGCGCCACTGCTGTTTGGCGTGTGAAATCTTCATCATTTCATATCCCATCATACTATGTATAAGCCACTTTGCAAACGATACGCGTGAAAAAGAACAATCGCAGGGCAGGGAAGCTGAGCGGTAGCTTCATGAATCGTGTGCATGATACGACTTCACGCGCCCACTTTGGTCTTCCCTGCCGGGTATCTGACGACGCTTTCAAGAGGCTCCCCATTCTCCACCAACACCGTAAATGCGTAAGTAAGCCTATTTGAGGCTGCGTGTGCTTGCTGTTCACTGTCATTCATAACGACGCCTGCCTTGTCGTCCTTCTTGTCGCCGCCGCATCGTGACTGTCATTGCCGTCGACGTCCTCTTCCGAGATCCAGAATTCTGTTCGCTTCTGGATACCTGGTTCAAGCGGGATGTCGCTGTGGTCGCTCTTTGATAGGGAGGGCCTGCGCTCCGAGCGTATAAAAATGTCGGTGGTACCGCCGTTGTCGCCGTGTAATCTGCTGCCGTTGTTGTACGCAGATCGAGAGCGATGTGACGAATTTCCGTATGCTGAGGGATGGGAACTGGGGAGCTGTTTTTCTCCAAAGAAGTAGAACCAGAGGGATCTGGAGAGTGCCAGGTTTCCAGCAATGATTCCGAGGTAAAGCTCCAAGTTGGACCAAATTGCGGTTACTGCGTATACGTCTAAGGATGTTGTTAGCTGAGTCCTTTTGGACGCCCGACCAGGAAATGTCCTTACAACTCAAGTCGTTAGTCACCAGGCCAAGAGAGGCTGCTCTTGCAATACCGAAGCCAGTGGCGCTGTCAGGTAATGTCAGTTTACTAGTTCGGTTTGGGGGTTCAGAGGTTGCTCACATCAAACCGAGACTCATTAATGCGCCGACCGAGAGTTTGGTCGACAGTGGTATGCGTACTTGCCAGACTACAACGAGAGGCAACAAGGAGCATAACAAGTCTGTCGCAACGGAGTATGCTAATGGGTAAATATGTCAGTCGCAAGCCACAAAGATGCCACGTCCCTGCGCCTGACTTACAGATAGTCAAGTAAATCGAGTATATCCGAATCTTGGCGTCCCAGCACACTCCGTTTCCTGTCCAGTAAGCGTCGACGGGATCGCACTCGGCGAGCAGGATGATGATGACGCCAAAGTTGGTGATAACCAGACCAGCCATGACGGACCACAAAAAGTACTTGAGCCGGCTGGAGTCTTTGATGCGGAGCAGCAGTAGCATGATGGAGCACTTGAGCAAGCAGATACTGGCGAATAGAAGGATTTGCGCGAACCATCCAAGCATGCTGTTGTTGACGTATTCCTCTGTCGAAATGTACCATCGATGCCTCCCATTGCCCGAGTTCCCTTGCGCGCACTGAACGCCATATCTGATGACGCCGAGACTGGCAACGATTCCCATAAGATAATCATCCCATCCCAGATGCCGTAATGCGAAGCGAACGTAGAGGCGGATCGACGTCGTGAAGATGACAAAGAAGATTAGCGCGCCGGAGACACCAAGGAGGATCGGGTTGACGTTCTCGTCCGGCGGCAGCGGATTCGGAGGGGTGACTGGCGCCATCGCGAGCGCGTACGTAGGAGTCTAGTGGACTCAAGCCTGGATAGCGTGGAAGAAAACGCCAGGACAAGGAACGAGGGTGCAGCACACCAGGAAATACTAGGCCATGGGCTGGATAAATGTGTAGAAGAGAAAAAGACGGCCAGCGGGTAATCGACCCACGGGATAGTCTCTGCACAAGGCAAAGACGAGGACGATCGCCAAGATCTGCTTTTGGATGGCAGCTCGTTTACCCCCGGACTTTTAAACGTCCCACTCGACGTGCGCCCTTGAGGGGGGAAAAGGGAACGTTGGTCGTCTTAAGAGCTGCGACGAAGCTGAGAAGGAGGAGGAGGAGAACAAGCTACATGCAATTCCGCAGTAGCCAGCCCTGCATGCGCGGACGGAGGAAATATGAGATGCAAGGAGGTCAAGGCACCACGGCGCATATGTCTCAGATGGGCGAGACCCAATCTACCCATCCCGCGGTTGTGTCGGGAGGAGGGTGGTAAATGGTAATGATTTGATGCCTTGGACGCCGACGACGCCGAGGTGGTGTTGTGTTGGTTTGGTAGGATGCAAGATTGCCCAGCCTTTGGTTCGACTCTTCCAAGATACGGATAATAGGCAATTGGTAGTTTATTTCGTTGCCCCGAGCAGAGAGGCTGCATGCCAAAGGACGTGAGCTAAACGCAAATGTCTAAGACCTAATTCTCTCAACTACGTCCATTCGAGGGATCGCTGTGTCCTGCATGGCAAAGACGGGGACCCCTTCCCCAAAAGAAGAAGGGTCTTGGCCGGGAATGACTGGGAGTCTCGTATTGTGGAAGGCCAGGTTGGACGAGCATCCTCTCCTCTTTTCTCCTTCTTCGATTCCTGCCCAGCTTCTGCGAGCTCCTGTCTCGTTGCTTGGATACAAATTGAGTTTGAGCGGCCTCCATTCCCCTGCGTATCTCTCTCGGTTGTTGACGAGGGCACGCCGCGCCCGAAGGAGGGATCAAAGTACATAGACCCTGGGCATGTGTGGATTCTTCTCATGCTGCGACCTGCAGTGCCTGCGCATCTGACAGGTTGTGGGATGTTGCGCAATGTGCCGCAGGTCTCCCAAGGGGTACATATGATTTACGTACACAGACTTGTGTGGGCTCTTCTTGCCAATGGTTTACCAAGCAAACACCCGCAGCAGAGTTGAGCAAATGGAGTAAGTTGATGACGATCGTCTTCTTACT